TTTTGAAATCGTTGTACAATCAAGTCATTGTCAATACCATTTAAAATATCATTTTCAATATAAGTAAGTAAATAATCATTCATCCAAGAGTCTTCCATACGATTGTGTAAACGATTCTTTATAATGTTCATTGTAGAAAATGCTCGTTCAACTATTGTTGTAGCAATTGACAATATCAGAGCAAGCTTTATAAGTAAGAACACCAAAGGATAAATATCATTCTTCCTAGTCTCCACCATTTTTTGAGCAAGTTCTCAAAGTCCTTTTAAATTCATAAATACATAATTCTATTTCATATCAACAATGAAATTCTCAATTTGATTATCTAGTATAATGAGATTCATTTCTGAAAAATCTGACGGATAAAATTTTGCAAGGTGTAATAATCGTTCTTTATCAACAACAACATCAAGCCTTTATCCCACTACGTGGGGTCGGCTACATGAATCCTTTTTCTCCATTGTGTCCTATTAAAAGTCAAATTCTCGTTTAAATCTAATAAAGAAAGGTCATTCCTAATATTTTCTAACCAAGTCTTTTTAGGTCTACCCCTACCTTTCTTAATATAAGTCAAATCTAATACCTCTACTCTCCTAACCGGGTCATCGCAAGGCCGCCGTTTTATGTGACCAAACCATCTAAGGCGACTTTCTCTAATCTTATCTTCTACTGGAGCTACTCCAACCTTTTCACGTATATGCTCATTTCGTATCCTATCTCTAAGGGTAAAGCCACTCATCCACCTGAGCATCCTCATCTCTGTCACACTTAACTTAGTATTATGCTTCTCTTTTAAAGGCTAACATTCGGCACCATAAAGCATTGCATGCCTCACTATCATCTTATAGAATTTTCCCTTAAGTTTGAGGGGTACATTTCTATCACATAACAAGCCCGGTGCATTCCTTCACTTCAATCATCCAACTTGAATTATGTTGATAATATCTCCATCTATTTCACCATCACTTTGAACAATTGATCCAAGATATCTAAAACGTGTACTCTTATTAATGACTTGATCGCTCAAAGTCACAATCCCCTCACTAGGTCTATTCCTACTAAAATTGCACTCCATATATTTCGTTTTAGATCTACTCAAGCGAAAATCTTTAGTCTCTAATGTTGACCTCCATAATTCAAGTTTACCTTTAACTCCCTCTCTAGTCTTATCAACAAGGAGAATATCATCAGCAAAAAGCATACACCAAGGTACATCCTCTTGCAAATGTCTAGTGAGAACATCCATGACTAAAGCAAAAAGATATGGGCTTAAGGCTGATCCTTGATGTAACCCAACCGAAATAGGGAAATACTTGGTCAATCCACCTTGTGTTTGAACACAAGTAATAGCTCCTGCATACATATCTTTAATGATTTGAATATAAGCATTATTGACTCCTTTCTTTTCAAGAACTCTCCATAGCACTTCTCTTGGAACTTTATCATATGCTTTTTCTAAATCAATAAATATCATATGTAGATCCTCCTTATTTTCTCTATATTTCTCCATCAAACCTCTTAATAAATGTATGGCTTCCATAGTCGACCTACCCGGCATGAATCCAAATTGATTTTGAGAAACATTAGTATCACGCCGCAACCTATGCTCCAAAACTCGCTCCCATAGTTTTAAAGTATGACACATTAACTTAATACCTCTATAATTCGCACAATCTTGTACATCACCTTATTCTTAAAAATAGGAATTAACACACTCATTCTCCACTCATCTGGCATTTGATATTTTCTATGAAAAAACAACCAAATTGTTATCAAAATTGAAATATGATTTTTTTGCCATGATTTGTGAAAATCCCATTTCAAACTTAAATAGGGCATGAGAACAAGAAAAATTCTTCTCGATGTTGGAGAATTAAAAGACCCAATATTGTAGGCCCCAATATTCGTCTAGGGCTTCATACACTTATGAAGCCATTAAAAGGTTGAGCATGTACAGTTAATAAATGAATAAGTCAGTAAAATCCTTTAAACCCACTTGAATTGGTCAATAAGATAGAGGTTGAATGTCGACTTAAAGCCACTCAACATTGGTCTAGGGCTTCATACCAACCGTGTTAACCTAATTCTATATCTTGGTTCAATCTGTCAATGATGATTGCTTGGTTGTATGTAACTCCTCAATTGATGAAAAGATTGATGATGTGAAGAATACTAAATACACTTTTCCAAAGTCTCTCTAAGAAAATATTTTGAATTTTCAACTAAAAAAGCAAATCAAGCTACTATTTGGTTGAAACATGGATGCTTCAATGAAGATGCAGTATAGAGGTAGCAGTCCACGGCCTGTCATTCTCCTCCTGACTGATCTGCTCACCCAGATCGTCCTATTAATAATCTCTCATTAGGCTGAGAAGGGGATTTGACTCTTTTGTACTGTAAATAATAATATAAAAAGGAGGGGATGTCTTCTATGTTATGCCGAATAATTTCTGAATACGAAGGAGTTCTTCCCATCTATGATTGAGTTCTATATTAGCTCTTGTTTCCTATGTGATTTGTAATGTGTGGTTGACTTGTTTATTCCCAATCAAACTACCCCATTACTAAATAAAAAATTTTAAAAAAAAATTAAGCAAACAAGCTCTAACTGCATTATCTTCCACTTGCGGCCTCAAAATTCTTGAAATATTCAACCGCGCAAGAAGCGCACAATAGACGGCAACAGGAAGTTGAACAAATTGAACAATATCGGAATCTGAAACTATTTTTGCATATTTTAGACGATATACAATCCCATTAGCATTTCAGGAAATGTGAGTCTAATTGAGAAAAATTACAGGTACTTACTAACCACAATTTGTCAATATCCAACGGAAAAACACGAAATTTCTGCCCTCGACCATTATAGATCCATTACATAAAATGGAGATGGACGAAGAACAGAATGCTAATAGGAAAGAATAAAGAATAATGAATTGAGAGAGAGGAAGAAATAACCTCCGACAGAGTTTCGTAGAAGGGAATGGAGACACCAGAGAAATCGGTGATCTAGCTCCAGATCTAGAAAAATGGAGCAAGCGGGCTGCGGTGTAAGCGCGGGTGCTTTGTTAGCGACATGCTATTAGAATGAAAATTTTAAATGTTTTTAATTTTGGGGGTTTTACATACATACCATTTTATTTTATGATATTTACATATCTACCATCAAAAATATTAATATTATATGACTATCACCCATAGAACAAATTTAGGTGCATGAAATGAAATATTAAATTTTATAGGATAGTATCAAATGATAGAAAATGAATTATATAAGTGGTATATTTGATATTAAAGTTGTATATGAGTGGTAGGCATGTAATATTAATGTTTTTTGTATTAGATATGAAAATAGCATGAAATAAAGTGGTATGTAAATTTTCCATTAATTTTTATATATTTTTATAGGGGGGTTTACATACACATACCATTTTATTTTTTGCTATTTACATATCTAATAACTGAAATTTTAATATTATAGTCTTATCACTCATATAAAATAATTTAATAAATATTTTATTTTATATAAATTAAAATTAATAATATTTTGATGTGGCTTAAGTATTCACAATATAATGATTTAGATAATGGATATAAAATTATATACAAATTATAACCCTTATTTTTTTTATTTGCTATAAAATTGCATTAAACAATTATATGAAGTAAAAATATGAGTCAAAATAATTAACACTTCAACATATATCATTCCAAAATTGGTGGCTAAAGAATGTCACATGTTGATATTTGTTAATCAATAATCAATAAGTAGATTTAAAAGGTCTATTGATTTTGAGTTGTGCGACTTGATGATTCTCTACATAAGAAGATAAATTGTATGACTGAGAAGGCTTGCAGTGGACAATTGATGTTACTCTTTCATATGTGTTCAGACAATGATTGATGAGGAATGATGTAGGTTGGACAACATCATGGAAGACATGTTTGACATAAGCTTAGCTAGTTGTCCAATCAGTCTCTCTTCTTATAAGGAGAATAAACAGTTCGACCACATAACGTTGCCTGACTTTAATAGTTCTCATTGACAATTTCCCATCATATGTCCAAGTGTGATCACCAATGTTCAATGGAAACTTTCGTTGTCATCTTTTCTTCCATGATATACAAAGTTGATTGAGTTATATACCACTTTAAGTGGCCTGAATCAACCTTTCTCCCTATAAGAGAAAAAATATTGAACAATATAGAAGGACTACATCAAACATCAATAACCAACTGACATCTAATGTCACTCTTTAGTCTTATGACATCGAGTAATTGATATATCTACTTATTAGAGGAATAGAGGGGATATTGAAGAAATTTGAAGGCTTTCCTTGGATGTTGTGGTTAATAAGAAACAAATATTAGATTTCAATGTTTGGTGTAAGTGACCACTGATGATGAATAACAAATGTGGAGTAAAATCAAGCAACCTAAATTAGTTGTTTTCATTATAGAATGATATTTTAGATCATTAGAATATATGAGGCAAATGTTAGTGGCTAATGAACATTAGACAATGATGGAGGATGAATATCCAAAGTTAGTGTCTAATTGTGTGACGGTTAACACCGATAATAATCTACATATAAAGTCTTGTAGTTGAGATTGTGGACATTGATGTTGGCATACGATGTGATAGGTTAATGGTCAGCTAATATAAAACTCGTTAAATTTGAAATATGTCTAGATTTTCTTTAATATAAAATTTATAATAGCCCATTGATTTATGCAAGTATATGTACCGAATCAAGTAATAAAGTGATAGAGTAAAGTGTTAAACCCATGAGGAAGTGATCTTCTAAATTGCAACAAAAACTATTGCGTACTTACTCCAATTGCATTGATTTATCCTACTGAAATGAAAAATGAAAAATTTTTAATTCTCTCCACATAATGAAAATTACGAAAAGGTTGATACTATTGTAATAAAGTATTTTTGAATGATATATGTAAATTTCATATTTTCTTAATGAGACGTTTGATTGTAGATGTGGATCATAGCATGTGCTTCCCTTTATCTTTATCGAGCTTGTAATGGTGAAAAGAAAGATTATTAGTCTTCATACAATTTTACTATCTCCATAGAACTTAGAATACTCAAACATCCTATGTTCAGGCATGTCAATATTCTTTTTCAATATTCCTAATTATTCTTGTATTTCTCCATTAAGGCTATACATCACATTAGATTTTAATTACACACTTGATCATTATATGCATTAAATGAAGAACGAAAGATATGTTGAAACATTATTACTTTCATTTAAGAATAAGAGTTTATATTAGCATTTAATAAGCTTTTTACATCATCAGCTCAAAATAAGAGATATAGTCATATATGGAAGAAATAACAAACAAACTCATATCCATTTATTCATAGAAGAATAAAATGCAAGAGAAGTAGTAAGAAATTTATCACTAGGATGAATCAAAATATCTTCTCTATACTCCTTCCTCTACTTATAGAACTGCTTATGCAAATACAAGTTAAACTCTCTAAAAGATTATATCTTGCACTTCCTTAGCCTCCTTTAGACTTAATTTACTCTAAGGAGATAGTGAAGAAATACACTGAAAAGTATTAAATTTTCACTCATGGGCCTGAACTCTACAAATAATGGAACTGAGCACTATTTATAGTAGGTATAGGATCAGAGTCAAGTGTCGTGGCACTGGATGTGTGGCGTTGCGGCGGTGAAAAATGAACTAGAGTCTCGGTGTTACAATGTTGGTTCCACTGCAACGTTAGGTAACGTGGCACGATTACAACTTAAATCCGTTCAACTTTTGGTCAAGTCGATGTGGCTATTATGAGTTATAACTACTCCACCACGGCACCATAAAATATGAACATTGCAGCACTTAGTTAGACATTCTGGTCCCGCGACATTAAAAATGTTGGCACTCCTATGTGAAAATTTTCATGATACCCATTGTCGCGGTGTTGATTTTGGGCGTAGCAACATTGTGATGTGCTATGGTGCTGACATCTGTGATGTTGAGATGCTTGCAAATAAAGAATGTCAACGCCGCCACATTGAAATAGGCGCTTCAATGTTGATTAATATGGCATTGTGGCGTTATCCTTATCAGCAGTGCGGCATTATCTAACACTTATAATTTTTACTTTTTCTTGCAAAAATCTTATACAAATACACTAAAATAATATATTTTTATTGAATTTAATATAAATAAAATAGTATACGATTTACACTTAAAAGACATTAGCATTGATCAGTGGTGGGCATAATTATAAAAGACATTAGATTTTTTATTTTTTTTAACAAACAACAATCTATTAATATCAAAAGAACAAGGTTACAATAAGAGAAAGCAGGAAAAAAATAACGAGAAAAATTACAATAAAACGCGGGCTCATTAAGTGGTAGAGGCTTCCAGCACCACAGAAACCACACAAGGACCGTCCAAAAGGTGGAGAAAGCGACCAATACGAACCAACCCGAAAGAGCCACAACAATGGATGCCACCAGCGAAGTTCAATGATGCGAGCCCCAACCCATCATTGCCCAAAACCCAACAAACCAGCATATCACTCAAAACAGAAAATAAAGGCACGAAACAGGAACAAGCAATAAATCAAGACACTATCGCCTACGGCGGCCCCTGCCCCTGCCACGAGCTCTACCCCGAGAGCCAACATTAATAGAGGGCCTAACATTAACAATAGTGAAATCATATCCCAGAAATCCGGAGACACCAAACCATCACCATCAGAAAATTCGAAATCAGGATCACCATCAGAAGAGTCTAACCAATTAATATGGTTCCTAATATCCAGACCAGAACTGTCGCCTAAGGAAGTGCCCACAATTCGCGTATCGACCAAACTGACGGGAACATGAATGAAATTATTGGCAACCTGAGTACAAGCCTGAGTCACAGCCACATCCAGATTTGGAGTAAGAACCCTAGGATGATCCTCAACAGGATTTCCCGCAATGTTAACCGGCAAGATCCCATTACAAGTAGACGGTAAAGTAGGTGGAAAAAAGGTGCAGCATTAGGTGATAAGGCAAAATTAACATCCTCAGTTATAACAAAACTACTATTCAGCCTTTCAACACCATCCCTAGCATCCACTGTACAGTTACCCAAACCCTCGCGCGCACCATCGACGAGAGGAGAATCTATAACATTCACATTATTATGAGCCAAAATAGAACCATCAACAACTCCATTGGAAATATCAACAGTAAGAGAAAATAAAACAGGATCAACAACTCTCACAGCCATACCAGGAGGCTCCAAAGCATCAGGCAAGCAAACCCGACAATCAACATCAGGCAAGACCTCACCCACCTTAACCACTGAAGGCAAAGCATCAACCGTCTGATCATTATCAATAATTTCAAAATCTAAAACTCCTCGCTCTAGAACAACAGCACCCTTATCCGCAGAAATATCACAAGCAGGAGAATTAATCGGGACAGAGGGAGAAACAGGGACAAGGGGAATCACCTGGGGGACAGAGTTAACAACCGGAGAGGATTTGGAAACAAGCTTAGGGCAATCCAATTTCTTATGACCTAAAGCTTTGCAAATAAAATAAAAATTAGGCATACCCTCAAAAACAACTTTATGCACATACCCCAACTTCTCCGGACCCAACCAAATAGAATCGGGGTAAGATTTTGTTACATCAATTTCAACAAGAACACGAGCAACTGAGGGACGGGATCCAGATGTCGTAGCATTGTCAGTTTGAATCGGCCGACCAAAGACCGATCCCAACCCAAACAGGATTCGGGAAGAAAAGAGATGGGGACGTAAGACCGGAAAAGAAAGCCAAACAGGGACGATCGGAGATTCCTCCGACAAATCCAAAACAGGGGACCATTTTATGACTTTCATAAAACAACCATAAACAAAGTAAGATCGGTGAACAAAAACCCTAGCATAATCCAGATCATTGGCAAGCTTGATTAACACATTAGCTTGATCCATCAAAGTAACCGAAAAATCCCCAGTCAATTTCAGATTAAAGAAAAACCTACGGATAGAATCTAACGATGGTCGTTTAAGGGGAAATTTCCCTACCAA